AGTCACGCCGCTTCATAATTCGCATATTCGCAACGTCCTCTGCAGATGCCATGAGGTCGGGGGAAGGAGGGATCACGTACGATTTGTGGTGTCTGTTGGGGATGCCCTCATTCCCACGATTACTCATCTTACAGAAGGGTCCGCGAGTCCGACTCACGAGAGCGCGCCGTGGCTATCGATTTTTCGTCATAGCTGATTGGTCCCTTGTCGCTGACGCTTGTTTATGGAGTGGACTGAATACCTACCCTGCAGCCTTTTGTAAGAGTGACTTGGAGAGACTTGCTTGACTTGTACCGTGTGAATAAACTTCTCTTCCTGACCGATTGACTTCTCTGCTCTTCCGTACTGGACTTCGGGACAACAATTGGGCTAGCCCAGAGTTCGTGCTAGTTATAAGTATCAGGCACGGGTCGTAACAGTGTCGGAAGCAAAAGAGCTTTTGTATCACGTCGAGAACGAACTGGGCAACGTTTTCTACCCAAGAACTCTGATAGCTGTACCCGGGGCAGTGCTGACACGTGTTTGGATTAGATTCTGATGGGGACAGTTGATCCTCCCCTTTCTTAATTTCACCGTTTTCTGATAACAAGACGGCAGGAGAAGTGTCTGGACACAATGGCTTATTTAACGCAACTCCTCCCTCTTTCGTATTAGCCTGCCGCAGCATGCTAGCTTCGTTTTCATAACCAAGTCGGGCTTCATACACAGGTGGGCCGACGTTAGAACGACACCGGCCATCCCGCGTGATTTTGCCCGCCATTTGAAGTGATGACCAGCGCTGAGCACGTAAGCGAACTGGTAGCTGGATGAGGCCTGGACGGAGTGACATCCTTGTGCAGGTGTTTTTCTCAAGGCAGCCCATGCACACAGGGTAAGAGAAAGCCCAGGCGAAAAATCGGTAGCCTATCAAAGTATTTGAGGAGCTTTTGCATCTGCAATTCTTCCATCCCTTTTAACTGCCCTGCCCCACTTCTCGGCACAAGAAGACACGTTTGTTTTAAATGTAGCCAAAGCCGAGGTGACGCCGTCTGATTACGCCCTCTGTGAGTCCCCAAGGAAGAACACGACAAGAAGAGCGCAAAAGCAGAAGTCTTTTAGCATGCCTAATACAGCG